ATCCTAGGAGGTGCTACCTAGATAGAAGCTTTTCTTTAGTTAGGAAACCTTTCAATGCCTTATGCCGTGCTGCAGTGTACATAAGTAAAGGCACATATTGTCCTGTGTGCTGGCCATTTGGAAAGCATGAGAACGCCGGTAGTAGACTGCTAAGTCAGTTCTTCCTGAAAGCTCAAAATCTAGTTTGAGGAGGCAGAGGTGAGAAACAGAAGACAAGCTCGTCAACAGCCAATGAACAGAATGCTGGGAATACCACACACAGCCAACCACTCCCTCCCTCAGCAAGATTTGGTTCTACAAATCACTTAATACATGAAGTTCAGAGGAAAGAGCAGTCAGGTTATATGGGAAGCAATGTTATATAGGGACCTTGAAGGAGACGTGCCATTTTGAAAAGGGGTACAGGAGGGACAGTGGCTAGATGGAACAGCAAAGAGCTGAGGTGAAAGTAAGTCCTCTCTCTCTCTCTCTCTCTCTCTCTCTGTGTGTGTGTGTGTGTGTGTGTGTGTGTGTGTGTGTGTGTGTGTGTGTGACATCTGTGAAGCTATGTGCATATTTAAAGCAGATTATGTACATCTTTGTTTGTTTTGATTTGGGGGATCTTAGGACACAGTAGGACACAAGTCTGAAGGTCTCAAATGACAGACCAAATAGGGTGGATTTAACCTAGTGCACATCTTACAGCATCTCCTCAAGAATTGAATTAGGGTGTGGGATTAGGCTGTAGTTTACGCCTGTCTTCGTAGCACTTGGGAAGGGGAAGCAGGAGAATTAGGAGTTCAAAGCTAGCCTGGCCTATAAGAGATCATCTCAACAAATAAAACAACCGACCAACCAACCAGAAACAAACAAGATGTTCCAAATGTCTACATGACCAGAGTTGAGGGGTTTTTATGATTTGTTTATTTTTACGTGTATAAGTGCTTGTCTGCATGTATATGTGTGTTCCATGTGCATGCCTGGTGATGGTAGGAGCCAGAAAAGGAGCTCAGATTCCCTGGAACTGGAATGGTGGTGAACCACCATGTAAGTATTTGGAGCTGAACACAGGTCTTCCAGAAGAGCAGCAAGGGCTTTTCACCTCAGGCCCCAGAGCTGAGGTTTGCTATTTGTTTGTTCTTTCAGGGGACAGCATGGGAACAGCTCCCCGCCCCACCACAAATTATGTAGTTAACAAATCTGGTGAGCAAAAATCTTTTAGCGATATCCAGATAGCTGCCTCTTTTTTCTTGCCTTCTTTGGGTCATCGGAAATGATTGTGCTTTTCAGCAAAAATGCCCCCAGCTCCTCTCCTTCATTTCTCTTATTTCGAATCATAGACCTTGCTTTATCGTGCTTATTTTTAAAGGAACTGTGTTGATAAAAGAGTTTGGCTTGCTAGGTGTGGCGGTGCTTTCCTTTAACCCCAGAAGGAGGCAGAGGCAATTGGATCTCTGTGAGTCTGAGGACAGCCTGGCCTACCTAGTAAGTTCCAGGCCAGCCAGACCCTGTCTCAAACAATGACAACAACAACAAAGAGAGTTCAGTTTAATATCTGAAGTCTGAATTTCTTTTTTCTTTCTTTAGATTTATTTATTTGGCTTTGTGTGCTTGATGGTTTTGCCCGAATGTACGCATGGGTACTCTATCCCCAGGAAATGGAGCTATGTATAGCCACCATGTGGGTATTTGAAAACTGAATCTGGGTTCTCTGCAAGAGCAGTGAGCACCTTTAACCACTGAGCCATCTCTCCAGCCCCATGGTCTGAATTTCAATGTGATATATTTCTGTCAGCTATAGTGTAGGTTCTGGAGGTTTAGTGCAATGACCATTGTTTCAGATTATTTGCTTATACAGGATCTACCTATATACTCCTGGCTGACCTGAACTCACTTTTTGTTTGTTTTTGTTTTTCAAATCAGGCTTTCTCTGCCCTGGAACTCAATCTATAGACCAGGCTGTCCTCGAACTCACAGAGATCCACCTGCCTCTGCCTCCCGAGTACAGGGATTAACGGTGTGCACCACTACCGCCTGGCTTGAACTCACTGCTTTGATCAGAGTGGCCTGGAGCCTCTGGTGATTTGTTTCTGCTTTCTGAGTGCTGGGGTTGTATGGCCTCCTCACCATGCTCAGTTTGGTCCTGCATATGAGACATTAAGCCAACAGTCTCTTATTCTTTCCATGCATTTCAGATCACAGTTCTTGTGAGTTTCGTGGTTAACACTAGATTTTGGTAATGGAATGCTAAATAGAGGCTTGATTATAAATAAACCTCAAGGACAAAAGTCATTGTGAGCTCACGTTTAGAGGAAGCTGTAATCAGTATTTCCACTTAACTTCACTACCTTCCACTTTCTCTCTCTATCCACTACTCTTATCTATACCTTGTTTTGTGGGCTTGCATGTCCTCTCTTTCGATCTCTCTCTCTCCTCTCTCTTGTTCCCCCCCCTTCTCTCTGCCTCCAACTTGTTATGTAGGCAGGGATGACCTTTGAATTTCTGATCCTCCTATTTACAGGTCCTGAGTGCTGGGATTACAGGTGTGCACTACTGTGTCTGGTTTTATGCAGTGCTGAACCTAAAAACCAGGGCCCGTGAATACTAGGCAAGCATTCTACCAGCTGAATTGCATCCCTAGGCTTACTACTTTTTATATTTGTTTCTTTATTGACCTTGTTAAGACTGTAAGCTTCTTCAGGTTGACAGGTCAGTATATTCTTGTGTCTTTGAATCTCCTAGAAGACTTTCACAGATTGGCAAAAAGTCAATTGTACATATAGGTTAAGTAAAACTATTAAAAGGCTTAAGTGATGGGGATGGAGAAATGGCTCAGCAATTAAGAACACTGACTGCTATTGCAGAGCATAGGGGTTGATAGCACCTGCATGGATCACAGGTCTGTAACTCCAGTTCCAGGGGATCTGGCACCCTCTTCTGGCCTCCTGGAGCACAAGTGGTACACAGACATACAAAGCAAGGAAAGCACTCATATACATTCAAACAAACAAACAATCAAACAAAAAACCAGAGGTAAGTTAAAGAGACATTCATTACATTTTATTGCTTTTGTTTTTGAGATACTGTTCATGTAGCCAGGTTACCTGGAACTCAATATGTAGCTAAGGATGTCCTTGAACTACTGATCCTCCTGATTCTACTTCCTAAGTACTAGGATTGCAGGTGTGTCACCAAGCCTGGGTTAGAGGGATCAAGATCCCAAAATTGTATTTACTAGAACAGTTTTCTATTAATTAACCTGTTTACTGAACTTTTAAAAGCTGTTTTGTTGTTGTTGTTTTGCTTTTCCTGTTTACTAAATGTTTAGAAGCTGGAGTTTTGTTTGTTTTCCTTTTCCTGTCTCTGGAGGCTGGCTTCGAACTCACATTCTTCTTACTTTAGCCTCCTAAATGCTGGGACTACAGGCACCGCCACCACTCCCAGCATGCAACTTATTTTTTGAGGTATCCGGCATTAAATTGTGTTGCAGCCATCTTGAAGGTCAAGAAACGCAGCAAAAGAGATTCTTGCGCTGGGTGTTGGGGTCTCACGCCTTTAATCCCAACACTTGGGAGGCAGGGGCAGACAGATCTGTGAGTTCGATTCTACAGAGCAAGTGCCAGGACAGGCTCCAAAGCAATACGGAGAAACCCTGTCTCGAAAAAACCAAAGGAAGAGAGAGAGAGAGAGAGAGAGAGAGAGAGAGAGAGAGAGAAGGAGAGAGAGGAGAGAGATTCTTGCACAAAATAGAAGGTTGGATGAAAGAACTTCTAAGGTCCCTTCCAGTCCCTAAAGTCTACGAAAGTACTTTCTTTGTCAAACGTTACAGAAATAATACTATTCATTTGATGCAGGGGGAAAGCGAATTTGTGCTATTTTAATCGTGTAAGGGAAAAGGCAGGAGAATGCTAGAGTGCTAAATATAAATGGGATCTGAATATTAATACAACCAAAGAGATTTATAATAGAATAAGTTGCACTGCCCCCCCCGCCCCCCCTTTATTCTTCTCCCTCTGCCCCGCCACCCCACAGCTCCCAGGGTCAGGAACTTCGGCATTCTGTTTCATTCCTTTCTCACTTGCTCACTTTCTTTCCTCAGCTGAGAGAGCTCTGCAACTGATTTCTGAACTTGGATTCCTCAAAATCATTTATATACAGCATATATAAATCAAAGTGGGTTCTCCACGCCCCAGGTTCTTGTGGCTGTGGGTGTCACCCACATATCGCTGAAAAAGAAACAAGGGAGCGTTGTCTTTGGCCAGTGGGAGTTTGGTTCATGCAGCGGCAGCTCAAGCCCTGGAATTGCCAGGCCTAATGGGGGTGGTCAGAAGAGGGTCCCTGACCTTGAAAATAATGGTGTAGAGAAAGAGAAGACATAAAACAAACAAAGACACAAAAATTAAAAAGATAAAAACAAAACAAAATAAAAAAACAAAAAAAAAAGAGAGAGAAAATACTGTTGTAATCTGACAGCCCCACCCCACACTCCCTACTGTCCAAACTGGGGTTCAGTGTGCTTATCTCGCTGGGGACATAGCTTGAAAATACAGTGCTTGCCCAACATCTCTTTAGGGCCCAAGAACCTAGAGGAAGCCCAAAGTAGCCTTTTCCTTGAGGGCCTCGGTCAGCTAACTCGGAGATTTTTGGACTTGGAAAGGAAGGGGTTGAAGGGAGCTGCCGAAGTCCTCGGTGACTACACCGGGGGAGGCCGCTGTCTCCGGGGGAGAGCGGGCGGTGCAAAATAAAACCCGCGGCGGGTAAATGCACGAGCCAGAATCACGCGGGGCGACTTAGCCAAAACTTTGACAAACGACGCTAGAAACTAGCGCGAGAGAGGAAAACCAGAGAAAAATCACCATCCACAAAGGGCCGAACCGCAAAACCCAGGGGAGGTTCCAGCCTGGAGCGGGGAGAGGGGGACAGACAAAAAAAAAGAAAAAAAAAAAAAAAAAAAAAAAAAAAAAACCTTAACTCGTCACGTGACAGCCCTGTCCGTTGCTCCGCTAAAGGGAGGGGGGCGGGAGGGCTGTACGTCATTTCCGTCCAGGCCGGAACTCAAGATGGCTGCGCTCTTGCTGAGGTGACTTTAGCCTGGGGCTGGGAGTCCGTGCCCCGCCATCCTTGGAGGATCTGAAGTGGTCCCTCGGGGTGGTGACAGCGGCGTGGGCGCGCGGGGACAGGGGAAAGAGCCGCGGGCGTGCAGGCCGCGCCGCAGGGATCCTAGGCCTCCCCATCCCCGGGCTCGGAAGGGCTTAGAGGTCACTCTGTGTGGACGAGTGGCCCGGCTGTCACCCTTTCTGCTTCGCCCACGTCTAAAGCCTCTTCCCAAATTGCTCGTGTCGTCCCACCCAGGTCGGAGCCTCCAGAAACTCACTCCGAGATCAGTTGTCTCCTAGGCCTACGGTGTGGCGGAGGGCGGGGCTCCTAACCCCTGGCAGTTAGTTCTGTTGCTGCCACGCGTCGGGACTGTGGCTTCCAAATGCATCCCCCCACCCCATGCCAGGGTTAGCAGTAGCGGCCGAGTGGGTCTCTGCTGCTGCCCAGAAAATCCACTTTGATTTGTTTTCTGTTTTGGTTTAGCGTTGTGATGGGGTGGGTATCCCGCCTTTTCCAACAGCCAATTTCCTGGCCAGAGAAATAGCCCAGATTTTCTTTTGTTCTGAATTCTTCACTCTTTAGGTATCATTCCCAGAACCTTAATAGTTAGTTGTAAGGGCTGGTGCCCTTCGACACTTACGGTACAAATCCCAACACAGTTTTGTGCCTGTCCTATTTTTGGAAATCATTTGTTATGGAAAGTTAGCTTCAGTGCTGTTGAAAATTCCAGTCCCAGATTCTCCCAAATGTGTTTTCATTTCTCTTTCCACTTCAGTCATGCAGTATAAAAATAGAAAGATTCTGTTTAGTTTTTCTTTGTTACAAAGTGAGTCTTTGGGAGCTCGGATCAGTTATCTTTATCCTTCATTTTCATCTTGCTGTGCATTTTCATAGGCATCTTTTCTCTGAGATGGGACAGGTCCGGGTTATCCAGACCTGCATCCTTCATTGCATATGGTCATAATTACTTGACCATAATTGAATGCTTGCAGATTCTTTGATGTAATACATGTTAATGAATGTTAGGGCCTGTTGGGTGGATTACTAACATTTATCATGAAATAATCATATTGGTTCCAAACATTTCATTTTAGAAGTTTCAGGATTAGTGTTTAGAGTCTTCATCTTTGGGTTCTTCCTGGATTCAACCAGTCTCAGATTGAAAATATTTAAAAAGCAAATTACAAAAAGCAGTTTTGAGGTTGTTACCTGATGAGTATTATACTGAGTCCATGTGAGTGAAACTGTAGATATACCCTGCTGTAGCCTTCTGCCATTCAGATATTCCTTCTCAGTCCAGCACTTATTGTTTGCTTCACCTTTTATTCCCTTGTAGGCATGTGGTTAGCGGTATCTGAACTCCCATTGGTTATATCTATAAGTAACTTTTTCTCATTGGTTGTATTTGGACTGCACATAGGGCACACCCCCTTCCTTAATCATATGGTATAACATATATGGAACATATAAATTATATTGGGCATCAAAGTAATACAGGAATTATTGGAAGTAAAGGACAGTGCATAGGACATATGTAAATACCACACCGTTTCATATAAATGACTTAATCATCTGCTTGTGGAGGCTCACACCATAGTCTCAGCACTTAGGAGACTGAGACAGGAAGGATTGCTGTAAGATTGAAGCCAGCCTGAGCTATAGAGTGAGTTCCAGGCCAGCCTGGGACACAGAGTAAGATCCTGTCTCAAAACAAAACGCTTCTAGCTATACCCTTTTACACTTTTTTTTTTTCACTTTTCTTTATTGTGATTGGGTATGTATGTGCCATGGCTTGTGTGTAGAGGTCAGAAGACAATTGTGAATCCTGAGGGTCCAACTAAGGCTGTCAGGCTTAGTGACAAGTGCATTCGCTCTCTGAACCATCTCACTGGCTCCTAGCTGTAATATTTTAAACTCCATTCCCATCATGGAAACTCTTTTCAGACTTTCTGGTTTCACATGAAAGACCAGGATAGATATCTTCTTTCATATTTCAAATAAGGTTGTGGAATTTATACAGCTTGTTTCTGTAGGGGCCTTGTGTAAAGCTTACATTGGTATTTGGGAAACAATAGCACTAGACAGAACTTGCGATAGATTCCAACCCACATCTGCAAACTCTTGCTGGGTAGCTGAGTGACTGGGCCTAGCTTGGTGTGAGGAATGTGTGCCCTGCAACTTCAGAGACAATTCAGTTGATTTAAAGGGATTTGTTCCCACTTCTTTCTAAGAGCCCTGGGTACACAATGTCTGCATTCACCTCTTGCCTCTGAAGGGAAGAGAGAGACGTGAACAACGGTTGGTTGGGTTTTTTCCCTTCGAATAATGGGCCCTTCTGAGACTCTGTTGTACATCGTCAGGCTCTTGAAAGGATTGTGGGTCTAGAATCAGTGATGTAATGGACATCATGAACCCATTTAGAAGACGGTTGGATCTTTTTGTTTGCTTGTTTGATTTTTTGAGTCAGGGTTTCTCTGGGTAACAGCCCAGGCTGTGGTGGAACTCTGTGTGTATACCAGGCTGGCCTCAAACTACAGAAATCTGACTGCCTCTTCATCCTGAGCACTGGGATTAAAGATGTGCACCACCACCCAGCTCAGATTGTTGGATCTTAATGAGCTCTTATATCTCCACAATGCCTTACACAAAGTGAATAACTAGTTACATAGAATTAACATAGGGAAATGTTTGGACTTCCAGAACTTCATTGTGGTCACCCCCTTAAATGCTTTGGAAGTGTTGGCTGGAATTAAGAGATTAAAGGATCTGTTGTTGAATGTTTTTCCTTTCTCATTTTCCATTTTGGCTTTTTGGACAAGGTCTTAATATATCCCTGGCTGGCCTAGAAATGGCTGTTTAGACCAGGCTGGCCTTGAATTTACAGCACTCTTCTTGTATGTCTTCCTGAATGCTGGGATTACATGATTACAAGCCTGATTTCCTGAATTTGATCCCAGGATCTACATGTTAGAAGGAGAGAACCAACTCTTAGCAAATTTTCTGATTCCCACATGTGTGTTGTGGCATGCACCATCCATCACACACAAAATAAATAAAATGTAATTAAAAAATTTTAATTTTATATATTTTATGTGTATTGCTGTTTTGCCTGCATGTGTGTCCATGTACCATGTGCATGCTTGGTACCTTCAGAGTCCAGAAAAGGGCACTGGGTTTTCTGGAACTGAACTATAGATGGTTGTGCATACAGTGCCGGTACTGTAAACCGTGGTCCTCTAGAACAACAGCCAGTGCTCTTAACTGCTGAGCCATCTCTCCAGCCTATGTAATTGTTTTAAGTAGCAACTTTTAGGTAGAAAACATAATTATTTTTTGTAAATACTTTTTTGTGGGAATGGTAAAGAATATTTGCTTACTCATGTTTTTATACTATTATATGAAAGGCTTTGTGACTTAAGTTTATCTTTGCTATCTCGAAGTTAATGGTAGGTCTTTAATTTTTTTGGGGGGGAGGTATTTTGAGACAGGGTTTCTCTGTGGCTTTGGAGGCTGTGCTGATACTAGCTCTTGTAGACCAGGCTGGTCTTAAACTCCTAGAGATCCACCTGCCTCTGCCTCCCCAGTGCTGGGACTAAAGTGTGTGCCACCACCACCTGGCTAGATTTTTAATTTTTTGTTTTTGTTTGTTTGTTTGTTTTTCGAGACAGGGTTTCTCTGTGTAGTTTTGGAGCCCATCCTGGCACTAGCTCTGGAGACCAGGCTGGCCTGGAACTCACAGGGATCCGCCTGCCTCTGCTTCCCAAGTGCTGGGATTAAAGGTGTGCGCCATCAACGCCTGGCTAGATTTTTAATTTTTAAAAATTAATTATTAATATTATTGCATGGTGTGTGTGTGTGTGTGTGTGTGTGTGTGTGTCAGTCAAAGAACTTTGAACAGTTGGTTTTCTTCTTCCACCTTTAAGTGGGTTTTGTGGGATTGAACTCGGGTTGTCAGGGTTATGTTATCCACTGAGCCATCTCCCCAGCTCCAGATGGTTTTTGGAGCTCGGGAATTTTTGAAATGACCTAGTTTAGTATTAGGAAGGTCCATCCTCAAATCCCTTGTTCTTCAAAAATTAATTCATCCGTTTGGAGCAGGTCTCTGCCATACATAAACTGTGTGCTTCCCGACATCTCTTACTCTGGCTTGTTTTGTTTTTGCAATGCTTGGGGATTAAACCCAAAACCTCATCCTGTGAATGTTAGGCAAGCACTGTACCGCTGAGCTATTAAAGTCGTCCCCCCCCCCCCCATTAAACTCCTGTGTTTTATTTAACCACCTCCTTTAAGACCTAGCTTTAAGACAACATCCTGAAGATTAACGTGGAATCCTAGCACTTGGGAGGTAGAAACACCTTAGCTACATAGTAAGTTTGAGGCCAGCCTAAACTACTTAAGACCCTGTCTCAAAAAAACACACAACAGATTTGTTTCTGTATAATATTATTGGATCTCATTCTTTTTTATTTTTTAAAGATTTGTTTATTTATCATGTATACAGTGTTATGACTGCATGTATGCCTACAGAACTAGATCTCATTATAGATGCTTTTGAGGCTAATGTGGTTGCTGGAAATTGAACTCAGGACCTCTGGAGGAGCAGCCAGTGCTCTTAACCTCTGAGCCATCTCTCCAGCCCAGATTGGCTCTCATTCTTTCACCTAGTATTTGTGTTCATTTAAGACTTCATTTTGTAATGTTTCTGATTATTCTTAGAGTTATAGTTTTATTATTATTAAGAGAGGATCTTGTAGCATATGCTGGCCTGAAAATTGCTGCCCTCCTGTTTCAGTAGTATAACTGCTGGAATTATAATCTTATTACCATGCCCTTCTGAGTTATAGTCTGTCTGTCCTTCCTCCTTCCTTCCCTTCCCTCTCTCCTTCTCCCTCTCTCCCTCCCTCCCTTCCGTTTTGAAACAGGGTCTTGTGTAACCCAGACTGGCCTCACACTCAGTATGTAGCTGAGGCTGTTCTTGAATTTCTAACCTTTCTGCCTCTGCACTAAGTGCTAGGATGACAAGTGTGCTTACCATGCCCCTCTTCAAGTTGTAGTTTTTCAGCTAGAAACTAGGGACACTATACTTATCTTCTTTAATGGTTTTGATGCTGGAGATTGAACCCAGGACCCAATGTGTGTTAAGCATACATTCTACACTGAATTATACCCTCATCGCTCATTTAATTTTCAGTCTGTCTTTCCACATCTAATATAATACAAAGGAGCCAGGCATGGTAGCACATCCCTTTAATCCCAGCACTCTGGACACAGAGGCAGGTAGATCTCTGAGTTTGAGGCCAGCCTGGTCTGTGGATCAAGGTCCAGCGCAGCCAGGGCACTCAGAGAAACCTTGTCTCACAAGATAGAAATATATAAATAATAATAATAATGTAGGTGGGGAAGTTGATAGGCTGGGGTTGGTCTCTAAATTTGTATTCTTGAATCTCTTGTAGACACGTTGGCCGTCATTGCCTCCGAGCCCACCTTAATTCTCAGATCTGTCTCAGAAAGTAAGTTTTGAAGCCTGTTGCGGAATATTCCTTTACACTGTGTGAAGATGGGTCATTGTGATTGGTGTAATAAAAAGCTAAGTGGCCAATAGCTACACAGCATTTGTAGCAGGGACTCCTGGGAGAAAGAGCTCTGGGAGGAAAGGCAGAGCTTCCAGCCAGATGTTGAGAAAGCAGGATGGGCAGTCCAGAGTGAAGGCAACTGAGCCACATAAAAACACAGATTAAAAGAGATGGGTTATGTGTTACAGGTGTTCTGCCTGCATTTTTGTCTGTGTACTACATTTATTCAGTGCCAAGGAAGCCAATTGGATTGCCTGAGACTGGAGTTAATTACTGTTTGAGCCACCATGTGGGTACTTCTGAGCCATTTCTACACCCTTTTTTTTTTTTTTTTTTTTTTTTGTTTTTCAAGGCTGGCCTTGAACTCACAGAAATCCGCCTGCCTCTGCCTCCTGAGTGCTGGGATTAAAGGTGTGCACCACCAATGCTCGGCTCCTTATCCTTTTTTAATTTTTTAAAATATATTTTACTTATTAATGTGTGTGTGGTGGGATTCAGGGATATGTAGGTGACAGAAGATATCTTGTGGGAGTGGTTTTTCTCCTCCTGCCACGTGGTCCAGAGAGACCAAGTTCAGCTCATCAGATTTGTCAGCCAGTAACTTTCCTCACTGAGCAATCCTCCTGCTCTCGCCATACCTTTCTTTAAAAAGACATTTAGGGGCTAGATGGGTGGCACTGTGTAAGAGCCATGTCCTGCTCTTGCAGGGGACCCAAATCAGTTGCTAGCACCCATATTGGGTAGCTAACCCTGCCTATAACTCTAGCCCTGTGGGATCCAACATCCTCTTCAGGCCTCCTCAGGCATCTGCATTAATATACACATAACTAAAAATAAAATGAAACTTTAAAAATACTTTTTGCTGTGTAAAATATGTACTTTAGTCCTTTTTGAATCTCTTGTTTTACTTTAGTGCTGTTCCTTTGGGAACCACAGCCAAGGAAGAGATGGAGCGGTTCTGGAATAAGAACACGAGTTCAAAACGTCCTGTTTCTCCCCACCTCACTATCTACAGGTGAGGCCCTGGAGCCAGATGGTCTAGAGTTAGCCTTATTTTATTTTTCTAAATCTTGAATACAGTGCATGGGAGCAGTGGGCTGGGTAGTAATGGCAGTGCTGTCTACATTAGCATGCAGCTCCTGATCTGTGGGTTGCCAGTGGGAGAGTCTTGGAAAAGTCTGCAACAAGTAAAAGATTTCTGAATGCACAGCTGCCAAAGAGAAAATTCAAAAGTGTAACAAAAGCAGACAGGCCATGAGTCTGAGGTGTTTCTGCGATTCCTGCCTGGTTCTGAGCACACAGCGCACACTTTGTACTGTGTGTTGCTATCACACCACACAACACTCAATGCTGTCTACAACACCTCTGCTCAGATTTGAGGCTGTGATGCTTTGTTTTGTAATTGTAGTGTTTTTATTACACACAGAGTTTTCTGCTCTTAGAGAAGCCTAAGGGTTTAATTATGGGAAACAGTGACTTTTAATACTTTTCTGTTGTGATTCCTCAGCAGTTAAGTATCAATATCTCTAGCATTGGAATGTATTAGGCTAGAATGTTTGGTCTTAAAAATTGCTGTTTGAAGACGGAACATGGTGGCACATGCCTTTAATCCCAGCACTCGGAGGCAGAGGGAGGCAGATCTCTGTGAGTTTGAGGTCAGCCTGGTCTACAAAGTTAGTTCCAGGACAGCCAGGGCTATTCCACAGAGAAATCCTGTCTCAAACAACAGAAACAAAACCAACCAAAAATTGCTGTTTGAGGCTGATCAAGGTGGTACAGTTGGGGTGTTGAGACAGGAGGATCGGGAGTTTAACCCCATCCTCAGTTATGTAGCCAATACACGGCCAGCCTGAGCTATAAAAAAACACACACACACAAATTCATACTTTTGTACTTCTGTTAGAAATGTGACTTGTTCCATTCAGCTGAAGTTATCAGGCTGAGAAGATGGATCAGTAGGTTGAGGTTCTTGCGGCTAAGCCTAACGACCTAGTTTGATCCTCTGGTCCCACCCACATGGTAGAAGGAGAGAACTGACTTCCAAAAGTTGTCCTTTGACTTGCATTTTGTGTACCATGGCACAGTAAATTAATAAACTAGATATATTCAAATAAATAAACATGTTAACAGAGGCTGTGTTCTTTTCCTTTGGCTCTAGGGGAAATTTGTTCTTGCAGCTTCTGGCTTCTAGAGGTCACGTACATCTCTTGGCTTCGTGACTACTAATTTAGTTATTTATTGGTATTTTAAATAGGGTCTTATGTAACTCGGGCTGGCTTCAGATTCAGTGTAACTGAGGCTGACCTTGACTGTTTTATCCTGCTGCTTCCCCCTCTAGACAGGTTGAGTGCCACCATACTTACACTTATTTCTTTCTGTGGGGCAAACCTTGCTTTCTTCAAGGGTTCCTATTTTGTACAAAAGTTATACTCTTTTTCAGTCATTGTTTATGTTGATGCTCCAATTGTTCTAGCTGTGGCTATTAAGAGTTCTTCAATATGGCATCAGTATTGGAGTGTTAGATGTGCTCATTGCTACAGGCGCATCATTGACTTTTTGTCCTCTCATCATTGGATAGAACATGATATATATTGTGTTTGAAACCTCCCCCCCCCCCCCCCCGGGGGGGGGGGGGGGGGGGGGGGGGGGGTATGTATTTATACATCCAAACATATATACATGTTTGTTCATCTCTTGTTTTCAGAAGTAGAAGTGCTAGCTGATTTTGTTTTTGTCTTCTAAGAGAATTCCTGTGAATCTTTTTAAAAATTAAAAATAAATAAACACTAACTCAGCAAAGCATCTGCCCTCTTTACTTGGGTTCCTGCCAGGGGATACTGGCCATTTTTTTAACCACCTCCACAAATACCACAACCCTTCAGGATTTTTTTCCAGCTCAGATTCCAGAAATAATTTTTATTGTAGAAACTGGACATTGTACCCTACCAGAAGGTTAGTAAATGATCTTAGTATTCTGTAGTGAAATCTTTTTAAAGACAAATGGTAAGAGCTTGTCTCAAAAATGAGAGGGGGAATTGGAAGGGGATGGAGACAATTCCAAATAGGCCTGGTCTTTCTTTACAAGTCATTTGGAAAAAAGTGATGTTAGGTCCATTTATGGAATTTCTCATGAAAAAAAGAAACAGAAGGAAATGTGGAGCTATTTTCTAAATATCAAGGAAAGATGTCTGAAGTAGCTAACATCATACATTTTTTTTCTGTTTGTTTTTTTGTTGTTGTTTTGTTTGTTTGTTTGTTTGTTTGCAGTAGAATCCTATATAGTCCAGACTGACCTTGAAATCTTTTAAGCTTTTTTTCTTTTTCCTGACACAGGGTCTCACTGTGTAGCCCCAGGTTACAAAATTGCTTTCTAGTTGTACAAGCTCTAGTAGGTACCAATATGGGAACCCCAGTGAAAAGAGTTAGAGTAGTATCTATTTCCTCTTCTCCTTTTTTTTTTTTTTTTTTTTTTTTTTTTTTTTTTTTTTTTCAGGGTTTTTTTTTTTTTTTTCTTGTTTAGGAGCCTATCCTGGCACTCGCTCTGGAACTCACAGAGATCCATCCACCTGCCTCTGCCTCCCAAGTGCTGGGATTAAAGGCGTGCGCCATCAACGCCCAGCTGTTTCCTCTTCTCAATGGTAGCAGTGATTTGGTTTTGTAAAATCAAGGGATAACTTTTTTTTTTTTTTTAAGATTTGTTTATTTTTTATGTATACAACATTCTGCTTCCATGTATATCTGCACACCAGAAGAGGGCACCAGATTTCATAAGGGATGGTTGTGAGCCACCATGTGGTTGCTAAGAATTGAACTCAGGACCTCTGGAAGAGCAGTTGGTGCTCTTAACCTCTGAGCCATCTCTCCAGCTCCAAGGGATAACTTTTTAAAAAAGATTTATTTTTATGTGATATGTGTAAGTTTTTTTTGTTTGTGTGTATGTATGCATGCATGCATGTATGTATGTATATACGTATGTATGTATGTATACCACTTGCATGCCCTGTGCCCACGGAGGCCAGAAGAAGGTGCCAGGTTCCCTGGAGCTGGGTTACATGTTAATCTGTGCTGGGAACTAACCTCTGACCTTTGCAAGTGTTCTTAACTGCTGAGCCATTTCCACAGCCACAAGAGATATTGTATGTTTTTACTTACTTCTTTACTTTTTCTTTGTTTTTCAAGACAGGGTTTCTCTGTGTACCTCTGGCTGTCGTGGAACTCACTGTGTAGACCAGGCCGGCCTCTGCCTCAAGACCGCTGGAATTAAAGGAGTGCACCACTATATCTGGCTTTTTTTTTATGCTTTTTAAAATAAATAATTTTTCTTGTTCTTTTTTTGCAGTGGATTGAACCCAGGTTCTCGTGTATGATACATAAGCATTCTATCTCTGAGCTGTGTACTTAGTCAAATTTCTTATTTTTAAATTAGAAATAGAAACATGAAAACTAGGTGGAGTTTTCTTGGTTTTTGTTTTTAAGGATTTATTTTGTGTGTATGAATGTTTTGCCTTTGTGCATTTGTATATACCAAATGTGTGCTTGGTTCCTTGGAGGTTAGAATGCTTGACAGGCCCCCAGAACTGGAGTTACAGATGGTTGTGAGCCACCGTTCAGGTATCAGGAACTAAACCAAGTCTTCTGCAAGAGTAATAAGTGCTCTTAACTATTAAGCTATTTCTCCAGCCCCAGATGGTTTTGGTTTTGATTTTGATTTTTGTTTCGTTTTTTAAATTATGTCATCCTAAAAAAAAAACCCAAAAAACAAACAAATTTTAAAAAAATTGTCTTTGTATGTTTCTTTGTAGATGGTCTCTTCCCATGGTAATGTCCATTTGCCACCGTGGCACTGGTGTGGCCTTAAGTGGAGGTACGTATGTGGATTTACACATGTGCACACATGCACACACAGATCTTTGAAGAACTGCTGTTTTTCTGACTTACTTCCTTGCCTCCTTTCTCCCTCAGTAACTTGATTTAGAGTGAATGTAAGTCCCTTTAAGATTGACTGTGTTTTCAAGATAGAGTTTCTCTATGTAGCCCATGAGAGGGTCCTGGAACTCTCTCTGTAGACCAGGCTGGCCTCGAACTCACAGAGATCCACCTGCTTCTGCCTCCTGAGTGCTGGGATTAAAGGCGAGTGCCACCACCAGGCTCCCTTTAAGCTTTTCATTAATTCATTCCTTTAACAATTAATTATGTGTTCCCATGTCCCCATGGTACTCAGTAGTACTTGCTACTCTTGTAGAGGACTGGGGTTGGGTTTGGTCCTCAGCACCGACATGGTGGTCCACACCATCTGTAATGCTAGTTCCAGGGGATCCAGCCCCCTCTTCTGGCTTCTCTAGACAGCAGGCCCACAAATGGTACACATATGCAGTCAAAACCCCATACATATAAATAAAATAAAAATAAATCTTTTAAGAGTAATTAAAAGAAAGCAACAGTAACCAGGTAGCTGTTATCCTGTAGAAAATGCACCAAGAATTCCAAGCTGGTCATGGTGGTGCACGCTTTTAATCCCAGCACTCAAGAGGCAGAGGCGGACGGATCTCTGTTCGAGGCCAACCTGGTCTACAAACTACACTGAGAAACCCTTTCTTGGGGAAAAAAAAGAAATCATATTCTCAGCCCTTTGTACATTGTGAGTACTTTGTTTTGTTGTCTGTATTCCCATGGTGATTAGTGTAACAGTGCTGTACATAAAGATAACAGGGTACTACCAAGCCAAGTTTTGGTGGTCACTTGAACAGTCTTCCCAGGGTTCTTTAGATGTTTTCATTTTTGTTGCATGGTTTTCTAGACAGAAGTGCCTACCACCACCATCACCATTGTTTTATTTTTTGAGGTTTTTTTAAGTCTTTTTTTTTTTTTAAAAAAAAAAAACAGGTTTTGTGTAACCTAAACTAGCCTAAAATTTGATGTATAGCCCAGCATAGTCCTGAGCCTTTTTTTTTTTTTTTTTTTTTTTAAGATAGGGTCTCATTATATAGCTCTGGCTGTCCTAGAATGTACTTTGTAGACCAGGCTGGCCTTGAACTCACAGAAATCCTCTTGCCTCTGCTTCCTGAGTGCTGGGATCCAAGGCCTGCACCACCACTCCCAGCAGTCCTGAACTTCTAGTCTTCCTCCCTCTCTCTCTCAAGTTCTGGAATTATGGACATACGCTACCATACATATTTTGTTTTGTTAATTTTTTTACATTTATGTGTATGTGGTTTTTTGGTATGCATGCCAAATGTACTGTGTGTGTACCTGGTGCCCGAATTGGCCAGAAGGCGGCATTGGCTCTCATAGAACTGGAGTTACAGATGGTGTTAACAACCACGTGGGTGTTGGAAAATGAACCCAGGTCCTCTGTAAGTGGAGCCAGTACTCTTAATTGTTGAGCCATCTCTCCAGCCTACATGTTTTATAAAATATATTTTTATTCATATTATTTTTAATTATGTGTATATATTTGTAGGGGGTGAGTACAGGCACCCTCGAAGGCTGGAGGTGTTTATTCCCCTGGAGCTGAAGTTACAGGTGGCATGAGTTACTCAGTGTGGTTTTGGGGAACCAAACTCAGGTTCTCTGCAACATCACTATGCACTTGTAATTGCTACGCCATCTCTCCAGTCTCCTATGCATGGCTTTTATGTGATCCTAGTTTCAAACTCAGGGCTTGTATATGTTAGCCAAGTATTTTGGTAGCTGAACTATGTCCCTGGCCTACGTTTTCTCTATTTCAAAGTGGTTTAGAATTGAATCAGGTGTCAAGAGGGGTCACAGAACCTAGTTTAATACATTACGTTACTTGTAATTGATGGGAGGCTTGCTTTTCTCGCAGGGGTCTCTCTTTTTGGCCTGTCGGCACTGCTGCTTCCTGGGAACTTTGAATCTTATTTGATGTTTATCAAGTCCCTGTGTTTGGGGCCAGCATTGATCCACTCAGCTAAGTTTGTGCTTGTCTTCCCTCTCATGTACCACTCGTTGAATGGGATCCGACACTTGGTAAGTTAATTGTGGATTTGTACATTTCCTGGATAAAGGGATTGAGAAGGCTGGGAGGGTCTGCGCCCTTACTTGTAAGGTAGTGTTCCTTCACCTTTTTCTTCCTCCCACGTCCTTTTTGATGCTCGTGTCACTGAACCCAAGGCCTTGCACCTACTATACCTCTAACTTTAGAGCTATTCTTTGTTTGCTTGTTGAGACAGGGCCTCTCACTATGTCACCCTGGCTGTTCTGGAATATGCTCTATAGACCAGAATAGCCTTGAATTTTTGGTATCCTCCTGACTCTGCATCCTAGGAATTGGGTTATAAATGTGAGCACCACACATGGCCCAACCTTGTCTTGCTGTTTTTATTAATCTATTTATTATTCATACAGTGATCGAGGGGCTTGAGCTCGGATTGTAGGCCTTTTCCTGAGCCATCTTGCCAGCCCTCTAGTACTATTCTTAAGGCTGATTGTATTGGATCTTTACTCAAGTCTTTTTGGGGAGAACTGAACAAGGCCCCTCCTGCATTCCTTTATGAGTGTGGGTTAGGCCAGTACTGAAAGGGATCTTTGTGAACTTTCCCACTTTTGAGCGGCATATAATTATTAAAAGACCCCTGAAAGCAGCTCTGGCAACGAAGACATATCTATTAGATAGAGATGAACTGGTGCCTGTGAATTTTTGACAATGGGAATTTAATTGTGAGCTAGATAAGCAGTTACTGCTTTCCGTGTAACACTCTTTTCTACCCTGAGTGACAAGTCTGGATAGACTCAAGTATCCTCACTTGAGATTGTATTAAGCAACTGGAGAGAATGAGAGCAAACACAAGCCAGGTGCCAAGGGTGGTTTTTGTGCTTGTTGTTGTTATGGCTTGTTAGTGTGCTCCTGGGAACTGAACCCGGGCTCTGGTCCATGCTAAGGAAGCACTCTGCTACATAGCTCCATCTCCCATCCTTTGAAAACACTGTTTATCAATTTAAAATTTATTTGTATTTTATCTGTATGGTGTGTTGCCTGTATGTATGTCTGTGCACCAACCATGTGCATGCCTGGGACCCATGGAAACCAGAAGAGAATGTGGTAATGAGCCACCTTGTGGGTGCTGGAAACCACACCTAGATCCTTGAGAGGAGCACATAGTACTCCTAATGCTGAGCTGTCTCTCCAACTCCCTTTTTTTTTTAAAGGTCTCATGTCATGTAGTCAAGATTGACCTCAAACTCACTATTTAGCCAGAATGACCTTAAATTCTTATTCTCCCACCTCTAACTCCAAATTGCCAACTGCTAGGATTATAAGTGAGTGCTACCATGTCTAGTTTATTTGGGCTTTTTGAGACAGGGTCTTATAAAACCTAGGTTGGCTATAAATTTGCTGTGTACCCAAGGCTGGCTTTGAACACACCCAAATTACTGTTATATTTTCAGACGGAGCTTTATTGCCTAGGTTGCCCTGGTCCTCACTCTAACCAGGTGGACCTTGAACTCATCTTCTGCCTGGCAAGTGTGAGCATTTTAAGAGTTCATATTTTGTGATCCCTACTCTTATATCCTTCTCCAGTAAATAGTTAAAATTTATTTTTCCACTCTTCTGTTATTTCTGAACCAAAGCAAAATGTCAGTTGGATGATTTTGCCGTAGTTTGGCCTTTTATAACCTCCATGTCAGAGCCAGCCTCAGAGACAAGTATCTTAATGATTTCAGTCTGGTCCAATAGACAGCTGAATGAAACAACAACCAGAGAGAGAGAGAGAGAGGAGAGAGAGAGAGAGAGAGACTAAATAATCTATTAAATTAAGTGAATTTATCAAGTGTTCCCTAGAGCAGTGTTCAGTTTGATTTGAAGTGGCTTCTGTCCCTGAGGGAGAAAGTGGAGAGGAAAGGCAGTTTTATTGATGGCTTTGATTCTGAACTTGTCTGTCTCCAAAGTGCAGTAAAGAAAATCATCTGGAGGCTTCACATCCTGGCTCAGGCGGGGGCTTACTTCTGTCTGTTTTTGTCTTAATATGGAGTTGGACTTTGGGGTCACCTGGCAATCCTAGAACTCAGGCTTTTTGCCCCAGTTCCTACCCACTATGATAATCTCTTTGTTGAGATAAGTGAGCCGCCTAAAGGCTTTAATTAAGCAAGCCCTAAGTTTTTTTTTTTTCTGTTCTCCTTCTTACAAGCTCTGGATGAGGGTCAGGCTTTAATTTGCCACAAGATTGTGTATCATATCAGTTGCCTGGCTGGAAGGTCTACCAGGACAGGGAAATGCTATAGTTATAAAGGAGGAACTGTAGGTCCTTTGACCTACCTTCCAGAGGCTTCTCCTACCACTACTACCCAGCAGGACTCGGTGCCTCTGTGAGCAAAGCCACTCTGTGTGGGATCTGCCCAATGCTTCATGTCATCTAGGTAGAAGCTAGCCAGGCACTGACGTGAGCATATCCTCTCCCCTTGATTTCTTTCTGGGCTTCCTCCAGTATTTCTCTGCAGGGACTCCTGATTGAGTCAGTTTTATGGTCAGACTATAGAGGTTCCTGTGTTAGTATATGTTGAGGCTGCTTTGTGTGCTGAGTTTCAAACCTGAACACTGCTTTTCACCTCAGAGCAGTGTGGTTCTCAACCTTCCTAATGCTTCGACCCTTTAATACAATTCCGTGGTGACCCACAACCATAAAATTGTTTTGTTGCTACTTCATAACTGTAATTTTGCTACTGTTATGGATCATAATGTAAATATCTGATAAGCAGGATACCTGATATTTGACCCCTGTAAAAAGGTCCTTGGGCCCCACCCACCACAGGCTGGGCAGTGGTGGCGAATGCCTTAAGTCCCAGCACTTAGGAGGCAGAGACAGGCAGATTTCTATGAGTTTGAGGCCAGCCTGGTCTACAGAGTGAGTTCCAGGACATCCAGCAGTACACCAAGAAACCTTGGAGGGAGAGAGGGAGGGAGTAGTTCTCACAAGTTGAGAACTACTGCCCTAAGTGTTCACAGCCTGAGAGAGCATGAGAGTCTAGGCTTTGGTTTTGTTTGTTTTCTTTTTGGTGCGGAGGTCCAACTCAAGTTAGACATAATAAAAGGCAAGTGTCTTACCACTAAGATACCCCGTTCTTCGTGGACAACCACTTAGTGCTTAGTGGATTGATACCAACAAAAACAGTTGAAGACTGAAAAGAAGGAATTTAAATGTTCATAAATTTGTACTATATATATGTTTCTACTTGTTCCAATTTAAAGGATATTTTAGTGGGGTCATAGTAAAAAAATAACTTTTGAGAGTCAGGCATGGTTGAAAGTGCCTGTGATCCCAGCTGTTTAGGAACCTGAGGTTGGAGGATGTCGTGAGCCCAGGAATTTGAGTATATCCTGGGTCAATATAGTGAAGTCCTGGATGGGAGAGAATGAAAGAAGAAATTGAAAGTTACGGTCCTGCTGGGAGCAGTGGTTCATGCCTTTAA